TGATTCCAGTCCCGCTGCCTGTGTGCAGATACAGTACCAGCTTGCGATTGGCCAGTCACAGTGGTGCTCCACAAGGAGCTGCTATCCAATTGTGGCCGAGCTTGTCGTGTGGCCAAAATAGTTTGTGACAGTCAACAGCCTTGGCATGCGTTGGAACGTTTGCTTCCAGCTTCTTGACTTGCAGTTCAAGTCTTACAGACTGTCTCGCTTCACACCCCCGTTGAGCCAGCTGAGTTGCTACGTTCGGATCGTGGCAACTGCAGCTGAGCTTGGCACAATTTTCGGGCAACTGGGACCTAGCGTTCATGAGTTCATGCACCAAGAGCTTTCATAGTGTGGATAAGTATATAAGTAAAAATGTACATGCATGTCTTTTTTGGAACACCTAGGCAAGTAGTGGTACATCTGGATCCATGTTCCCCATCCGGAGCATCTTCATTATCCACTCCTTCGTTTGGATGTGTATTCGTAGATTGGTCTCATGTCTTTGCCCAAGTTCATCTTCCGTGAAGTCTAGTGGTCTAGTCTAGAAATATGGCTTGGCTTTTCAGCTTCTGGGCTTGTACAGTCGGTGTAGAAGTCGCAGACAGCCAAATCCAAAGCCTGCAACCCTTTGGCTTCAAGTCTTTAATAAGGCCAGATATTCACAAAGAGGAAGTCTACATACTATAGTAATTTGGCTTTCTTATTGTTTCATGCACTGCTGGCTGTATGTGATGATTCCAGTCCCGCTGCCTGTGTGCAGATACAGTACCAGCTTGTGGCCGAGCTTGTCGTGTGGGCCAAAACAGCTTAGCTTGGGACAGTCAATAGCCTTTGGCATGCGTTGGAACGTATGCTTCCAGCTTCTTGACTTGCAGTTCACATGTTACAGACCATCAGTTGGTACGGCCAGTGCAAAAGGAAAAAAATCAAGCGATCACGCACAAAGCAGCAAAGGCTTGACTTCCAGAACAACCCTCCAGGTAATCTCAATGTCCTAGGACGAAAACTGGATCCTGTTTTGGGGATGTTGGAACATGATGGAAAATGTATTATGATGTTCACAACCTCTTTTGTAGCCCTGTTCAAGGGTACAAGCATTTCATGGCAGGGTACACAGAGCCCCCCTCCATTGCCAACATCGGTGTCCACAGCAGTCTCCTCCGCGACCATCCTGTGGAAGTCTGTTTGAATGAAACGTCAACGAGCAGCTTTGCTTGGGGAGCGTCAACGGAGCCACTGACCGTCCAGTGTGCAGCTTTCGCCTTATGGCTCGGCTTTCCCTCACAGAGCCTCATGTGGAGCCTCACGATAGCTTTGTGGGGCTCTGTCGGTTGTCTCAAGCTGGTATGAAGTCGGTTAGGGAAATGCTTCCCTGATTCCCTGATTGCATCTTGTTGCTCTCCTTTTGGCTTTTCCCTCTCTTCTCATCTTCCGAGGCCATTGAACATGTCAAACTTTTTGTTCTTGTTTGCCTTCTTATCCTGTAAAGGACGGGCGCGCTCCTTCTTTGTTTTTTTCCTTTGCTGCCCACTGCCATGCTATACTCCTGACTGCTTGGCTGCTAGGAAGTAGCGCTGACACGCTGACACCATGCTTCGCGCTGCCGCCCTGCTGGGCAGCACCATAATTAAATCGCTCTGGGAGAGGATTTTGTGATGAATTTGATGCATTGAGCATGTAGATTCTACCGTGATCCATTCGATGAGGGTTGGTGGGGAGGATGAAGCAGACACAATTATGTCTGTCGCCTTGGGTTTATCCTGAAAGCTTGTCAGTCGTGTTTGGAAAAAACATCCGAGTTCAGAGCCCCAATTTTGGCCGTATGGCCATGGCATGTGCGTGAATATTCATAAACATGCCAACTAAAGCGACCAAGCAGTGAAGACACTAAGCCTTTCCCCCGAGGTCAGATTGTAAATCCAAGCCCCGATTTGCACAGATGTGGGAAAAAAAGATGAGTCTCCTGAGTCTCCTGAAGAGTCTCCTGGTTATATACATCTGAAAGAAATTGATTAAGGTATAGGTATAAGTTATAAGTTTAGCTGCTTAGCTTAAGTGTGCAATGAGATCTTTGCGGTTCAAGCTGTTCCGGGACGTGTGGGAGAGTTGGCTTTGGGAAGTGTCAACATCCTTGCTGCCATGGGGTGCACTGCTGGCAAGGAGAGCGCTTCGATTCCTGGCGAGGTGCCTGGGATGTTAGATATTACGTTAGACACCCCGCTGTTTGCTGAAAAATTGAAGCGTCCCTATTGCTTTTCACCAGGCGGGCTGGTCAAAGCTTCCATTGGATAACATCATATAAAATCATGTTGACTGAAAGTCTGCATGGTAGCCAGTGATCGTACGTAGTTGTTGCATCCTGTGTGCACTGGACTGGCATGGTATCTTCTCGAGTATCAGGTGTTGTGGCAGAGCTTTAGCGTCCTTGCTCCTAGTAGTAAGGCCAGGAGCCCCTAGTAGCGTCCTTTTGATGTTTTTTTTGTTTTTCTGAAAGACTTGAGGAGGTTCCAATACTTCGGGCGAAGGAAGTGGCCTTCAGGGGAGTGGTCCAGATCCAGTGGGCAAACGGGGAGGAGGAGGATCAGCCGATGTCCGTCCATCCAGAGCTCAGCCTGCAACTCTTCCTAGCGATGGTGGAACAGAATGCCACTGTCATTCAAAGCCGGGTCGCTCAAAAGCGAAGAAGAGATTTTGGAGGCCAAACGCTGCTGACTTTTGACCAGCAAAAACGAGTTCATCATACAGCAATCAGCAATCAGTGAAGCCTCTCCAACAGACTCGGTCCGACTCAGTCGTCCCTCATTTTGAAGTGATGCATTTCTGTACAGTGCAAAGTCTCAAAGTGCCTAGGCACCACTCAAGGGCCCTGCTGAGTCCTCACACACTCTTTTGGCGGCTTGAGTACATGTACAAGTCCGTGACGGAGTCCGTGACAGCCAAATCCAAAACCTTCAAGTTTATATTATACCATATCAAAAAGGAAGCCAGTTGATTGCTTTGCTATACTTTGCTAGTTGTTGTTAGCATGGGCTGTTTGCGCATGCGTGTTGCTTCGGCCTAGCTGCTTATTTCCAGCTAGAGTTCCTCGAAAATGGCCAGTCACAGTGGTGCCCCAAAGAGTCCTGCTATCCAATTGTGGCTGAGCTTGTCGAGTGGAGACAATTGGCGCTTTCTGCCTGGAACTCCGGCAGTCAAGTCAGTTCGTTTTTCATGGCGTTCAGACACCTTTTGTTTTGCGGCTTCTTGACTTGTACAGGGAATTATGTTGACAAATTCAGCATTTTTCCCTTCAAGTTAGCCAGTGGGCAGACAGGCACTCTCGTGACCAGCACGGAAGGCTGCGATGGAAATCGACAAATCCTTTAGAAAGCGGTGCGTTCGGAACTTGTTTGAGTCAATCAGTTTGAGCAGCTTCTCCCAATGTCGTCAGCAAAAGCATCCTTGATATTCCTTGACATCATGTCTCCTGCATTCTCCTGGTCCTCCTGTCACTTGAAGGGTCTTGTGGCACTGAACCTGCCAGTTCCTTTGGGCTTGGGAATCTCTAGCCATCCATGGCAACAGACGAACTGCCCCCCCAAAACACGCCCATGACGTTGTTGTTCAGGCTTGGTTCGATAAGGCTCCTCCGGCTAGCGGCCAAGCGACCGAGCGTCGGGTCGCGACTTGAGGTCTCAGTCGCTCCAATTCGACCGGTGCCCTGAAGCGTGCATCCATGCCGGCGCGCAGAGGCTCGGAAGACCGATGAGCTTCGTTTCAAGCTTTGAAGCAAGCCGCGGTCAGGACGTACTGAGTCAGCTGATAGCTTTCCCGGAGAATGGCTCATGGACGTCAACCTTGGTATGGTAAACCGTAGCCACTAAATCACCCTCTCAGTCGAAGACTAGGATTCGCTACAGAAAACATTGACCGCGAGGCAGTGGCGTGGGTTTGGAGGCTTCGCTGCGCACTTAGAATGGTAGCTGTTGAGCTGCTTAGCAGCTGCTTAGCGAATCTCATGAGGTGATCATGGTATATTTCAAAATTCAAAACATTTTGAGCGCCGATGTATGGCGTTCCGAGACGCGGCAGTTGACGCGACAGGTGGCCGACCGTGTCGCTTGCTGGGTGCTTTCTCATGTGTTGACCGGGTCCTTCGGGTTCGGGGTGCGACGGTCCACAGATGAGAATTGGAGAACAATCTATGGTTCAGGTCAGCTTCTCTGGGTTAATGGACAGAGCTTCTGGGGAGAGATTCTCCCCTGACCCATCTCCAAGAGTCCCCTTTGGTCACCAACTTGTCGAGCTTGTCCATCGACGTGTGGGATTCGCAGAGTGCGAAACTCGACGATCTCATCGATGCGGTCGGGAGACTGCTGAGGGTGGAACGGCGTGCTTCTTTCGCGGTGAGCGGCCAGGTGATTGGGCCAAATTTCAGCACCGAGAGTGGGAGACAACCGCAGATCTCCATGGTGTTGTGGGTAAGAAGATGTAAGAAGTATGAACACGAACATTCATGGATGAAATCCATTTTGCAAGCGACGTGGTGTTGTTCACAGGTCACCAGAGAGGTAATTACTGGGTTTTGTTGATATGATGTATCATGTCCAAGGTTCCGCTAAGATTTAGGATGTCTTAGGCCCCTGTACGTTGTTGCAACGCTCCCCAATTATTTTTGAACTGTGTAATATATAGTATAACATATAATATAATATATATATAATATGTATGTAATTTTTTGTTTAGGGCTGCTGCTACACTCCATTTCTGATACACATGGTCCACATGGTGTTCTACTTCTCGACTTGGGCTGCAAAACCAGGACCGTCAGTCGCAGACTTCACAGCGTCTGACTGAGGCGGCGCGGAGTGCTTTACCCTTGAAGGCAACGGAGAGTGTCGCAAGCATCTAGTAGCGTCATTGTTCCTAGTAGGAAGGCCAGGAGCCCCTAGTAGCGTCCTTGTTCCTAGTAGCGATGCCCTTTGGAGCCCCTAGTAGCGTCCTTGTTCCTAGTAGCGATGCCCTTTGTTCCTAGTAGCGTCCTCCTACGCAAGACAGCAAGTTGCAACAGTTGAGATCAATTTGGGGTCAGTTGCGGTCGTGTCGAGCATCAAGCAGACATGAGATATCCTTTGGCGTGAAATGTCGTAGCTGTACTGAGCTTCATGAGAAGGCTGTTACAGCAACTGTGCACTTGGCAGCTGGAACGGTGGTTTATTGCGGAGCTGCCATTTTGGTGTCAAAGCTTGGCATCGCTGGGTATCTTCATAAAGACAAGGTTCCAGTTCTGGCATTCAAAATTCATTATGTTGTGCTTCAATATCTCAAAGGAAAGGCACCCCCACCACCTTTTCCCCCAACCCAGCCTCTTACAACATCAACCAATCTCCGAGTCTCAATGTGTCCGCAGCAAAGCGGGTGCCAGCGGCCAGCTGCGGCAGGTCTTTCCAGTTCCTCCTTTGAGCCAGGTGGAGGTGGACTTGATCTTTGTCCAGGCCGGCCCCGTGGCCGGGGGCAAGCCTAATTACGCAGTCAATATCGGGTATACGGTATACTTCATATTTCAAGGCTTACGCCTAACAGCCGGGCGCCGGCCCACTTGGGTCT